AGGAAGGCAGCAAATCACACTGCCTTGTGTGTACTTATGCAACCATCTTGCATGTTCTTCACATGTACCCCAAAACCTGATGTGCGGTTTAAAAAAAAAAAAAAAAAAAAAGAATTATGTGGCCAGGTGTGGTGACTCACACCTGTAATCCCGGCACTTTGGGAGGCTGAGGTGGGCAGATCACAAGATAAGGAGTTTGAGACCTGCCTGACCAACATGGTGAAAGCCCATCTCTCTAAAAAAGAAAGAAAAAATTCCATGTCCCTTTTGAAAAGAGGAGGGGGTAATCTTAGAGGCAAAAAACAGGCGTACACTCTAATAAGGCCAATCTGTACAAGAGCGAGATAAGAGAGCAAAGGGCTACTGGGAAGCAGAGCTCTGGCCTGCAAACGGCAACCAGCCTTGGAATCCCTGCTTGGACCTGACTGGTGTGTGACCCGGGGTGGGGTGCTGACCCTCGTGAACCCCAGCCCCTCACCAGCTCCCACCCCAGGCCTGCAGGGTCTTGCTGTGGAATCAGAAATGCTTGAGCAAAGCCCAGTAGCCAGTGCTGGCCTCACGGAAGAGGCAGGGAAGCCAGACACTGGGGAGAATTCCCCTCGTGCTCCCTCTCACCCAGGCCAGCACTGCCCCATCAGAGCCATGCTTTGTGGGTGGGAGTGGTGGGGGGATGAGGCATGGCATAGAGCCTCATCTGGTCTTGACAGCAAGTGAGGTCACCTTCGTCTTCTGACTTGTGAAAGGGCTTAATATCCATACCCTACGGGTGGGTTGAGATACTTAGCACATAGGGTGCCTGGCACGGGGGCTCAGCAGGCATCAATGGCCACCTCCCAAGGAATCCAGGACAGCAAGACGCTCTGCTCTGCTCAGTGCCGCCCAGCCACTACTCCCTTCTGTCAGCCCTGGTGTCACACAGAGGGGTCAGGATCAGTGTGGCTGACTACAAAGTCAAGGGCTAGAAAAATTCTTACACGCCCAGGGTTGCTCTTCTCTTCCTGGACCAAAAACCATCTGTGCTGACAGAGGGAAGCCTTCCAACAGATTTAACGGGACGCAGGATGCTATAATCAGGCTTTGGAGATAAAAGATCCAGCAGTTCCAATTCCATGATCTGTGACATTATTCTTGAAAAAATAAACGCTCTGCCACTCAGTTTTGTTCATTCCCTTAGAAGCCCAGCCACGGTCTAAGTTGTAAATAGTAAAGGCCTTTGATGCTGCTCATGGAAACATCAAACCTACCACACACGGAGTCCTTCTGCCCAAAGTAGGCAGCGTCAAAGAGATGGTCAGCTGTCTTCTCAAAGGAGGCCAGCATCAGCACACTCTCCTTCATCTTGGCCAGGCCAAACCTAGTGATGCCCAAGACTTCACCCTGTGTCAAGGGAAAAAGAGTCACGGTGGTACTCACACCACTGGCAAAAGCGCAAAACCAAAGCACGGTGCACCTTCAATAAAATCAACAAAAATTCCCCAAGTCCCAACCTCAGCCCAACCTCTGGTGTGAAAGGCTCGGAGGAGCTATGTCTGCCCTCTGTGTCCCACTGAGGTGGTCAGTCATTGGCAACATGGAACCTTACACTCGCATCCAGATCCCATCAGAACAAAGAATAAACAACTGAGAAGTAGAATCCAGAAACTAACTTCAGTGCTTCTGAAGAGGGTTCTTATGGCTCAAATAACTGAAAATGAAAAGAATTTAAAAATCTCAAGTATGAAGAGAATTAATTAAATTTAGGTAATTCTATTCAAAGGAATACTGTGCCATAATTTAAAAAGTGTATTTATTAAAACCATGAAACAAGATGGAAAATACTTGTGATGTTAAACAAAAGTCAGAACAAAAACTGCATCACACTGTTTGCTGCAACTCAAGTAACAGATGCACATGGACTTCAAAGAAGTCCCCCCACACCACCTTGTGCCAGAATAGATGCAGGACTTCACGGGAGCCTTCAAACTCACAGCCTCAGGGTGGTCGGAAATGGGCCATTTCCCTCACTTGGTTTCTAAATATCCTGTAATACACTATTGACTTGTCTAGGGAAGCCTTATGAAAACATGCTGCCCTAAGGCACAGCTAGAGGGAAATATGGTTTTTTTTTTTTTGGAAAAGAGAGAGAGAAATAAAATCAAAACAACCAATCAACTTCAGGTCACATTAACTTCTTCTTTCCTGGGAATGGCTACAGAAGAGAGATGGATGGGTGTAATAAGAAAGAAACACCTCAGCTTGCATGGGACTCTCTGGGCTTTGGCAATGGCTAAATGTGCTTTAGGATGACATTCAGGATGAAAATGGAACCAAGTTCCAGCTCTCTTTACTCCACCGACTGGGTGTGAGTTTGTCATGAGGTTGTAATTCTCACATTGGGATTTGACCGGGACACCCAGCCTGGGCAGCATATACTTTGGTTTTTGAGCAATGTTCACATCTTAATGGTGAACTGCTGTGATGATCCTCACGGTAGCATATTCTACATGTCTTAGAAACTCCATAGGTTTATTCTCCTAAGAGTGAGTTTCAGGACACCCAGGCACCCGAGGGCCTCCTGCCCACACACCTTGTAGGTCATGAGGTCAGAGAGCAGCATCACGTGTCTCCTGTCAATGCTCATGCCGTGGTTCACCATGGTGTACTGGATTTCATTGATGATCGTTGTCCGGGCAGCCTCGATGCCCAGAGTTTTCTCCACCTACAGAGAGCCAGGAATGAACAGAAGCAGCCCCTTCCGGGAGGCCACTGCAAATCCTCTCCACTTCCTACTCTGCCCTGCAGGTTCCAAGCAAACCCTGTGCCATTTTGCAGAAATGGATTGCTGGACAGTTTTTAGTTGTAGACCCAGGGCAAATGGGATGGTCAGAGAAGTATGGTGGGAACCAGCGGAAGGCCTGCAGATGGCACAAGGCAGACAGCCTAACCCTAAGGCAACCCCAAGGGCTGAGCGGTACCTCATAGGTGTTATTGGAGGTGGTTCGGGTGCCCTTCACACCGTGTGTGGCCATGACCGCCCGCAGGTTATCACCTTCCACCAGAAGCTTGTACTTCTCCTTTCCACTCTGCTCATCAATGTGGATGACAGCTCTGGACACCTCTGGAATGCCCTGCACCACCACCTGGATTCAGAGGCAGAGACGGCTGTGAGGATGGGGTGAGCCACATCCTGGGCTGGTCACCTTGATCACCCCAGCTGTCAGCAGTGGTCATCTGAGACACACTAGAGCTAGTTTTAGGGGGATGGGAGAACCGAAGACGTTCAGGGGACTGCACCTCATCCTAACATCAGGTTTTTGACAGAGTAGAGAGGAATCTAACAGACTAGCTCCTTGGGGATAAGGCGAAGAAGAAATGAAGAAATGGGACTAAGTGACAAAGCCCTTAGGTCCCAGCCCTGGGTGTCACACCACAGGAAGACGTTGGGTCTCCAGGAGAAGCAACTTCTGTTTTACCTTGGGGAGATCCTCTTTCAGGAACTGCAGCACGTAGTACATGGAGCTCTTGCTGTTCTCTCTGGGGGTGACACACACCACAGCCTCACCGTGAACAGCCACGTCACCAGGCTTCACGCGGAGCTTGGAAGTGCAGATGGAATAGCGCACTGTCTCAGCGTTCACCTGCAACATGGCCGGGCGTAGGTGTTACTGACAGAGGTTTGGAGGCTTCGAGTCCAGTGTTTTTCATCTTTCTTTCATTACTGCCCCTCTAGGAAGTTCTTCAGTCAGGTTTGTTCTAAGCCGCCCCCCACCATGAAATTAATGCCATAGATATACCGCATATCTGTTTTATGTACTATATGTGTATATTATCTGTGCTTTATTCATAAAAAGAGATTTTGTTCACCCACAACAAAATATTTGCCCCAGAAAATTCATGCTCAGTTCATGGCAACACACGCAGCAGCCTCTGTGGGAAGCTCTAGGGAGGCTGGAGGTTGGAGGCCAGGCTGATTTAAAAACTTCTGTGGGGCCTCGCCTTCACCTGACATTTCCACAATGGTTCATGTGAGACAGTCCTGGATACAACTCAGGTCTTCTGCAAAACAGCCACAAGGCAGGCAGCAAGAAGCAGGCTAGAGAAATCCCTAGACTGGAGAGTGGGTTGCTGCATTTCAGAGTCAAGTGTCATATGGGTAACATAGGAACTTGGCGCCTGAGAGAACGGGCTGACAGACTGTGTTGTAAGGGCTACGAGACGGTGTCAGGAAGTTACTCATTTTGCACTCCATGTCAGTGTGTTTGTGAGGAAGGCTGATCATCTTTCAACTGTTACCTATTTCCCATGAATGCCAGTTTAAGAAGCCAGGTTAATCTCCCCAACTAAAAAACATTTACTGAACCTCTTAGGTTAGCTGCCATGGTGGGCACTGAGGACCCACAGGAAAGTAAGACACAGCCAGCCCTAGGGTCCTTCCAGACACTGGGAAGAGGAGCAACAAGATCACTTATCATAATACCACGTCACAGTGAACTGGTATTGTGGTCTGCACAAAATTTCAACTGATTTCCTGTGAGTCTTTAGATGGCTATATTTGTATCAAAGTCAGGTTTAGAACAAGAAAATGTGAGGGAACAACAGAATCACAAAAACCAGAAACGAAACAGAAGCTTCTGCAATGCTTCCTCTGCCTTGCTTAGCTCTTGCCCTAGTTTATCGGTACCTATCTTGGGACTAACAGGATGACTTCCTCTCTACATTTAATTATGTGACTCACTTCCAGTCTCAGAAGTCTAATCCGTTCCAGGGAGAGCTTGACGAGAATAAAGCAGTCATCAGGAAGAAACACTTCTTCAATATACTCGGAAATCTGGAGTGTTAAAAGATCAGAGTGTTCATTAGCCACTTTCCCCTTTCCTAAGAGCATGCGACTGCTTGCTTTTTTTTTTTGAAGAGCTGGAGTAGCGTGGACGCCACAGACTGGTCAATCCATTGCTGCTGATTTTTACACTTCCTTGCAACATTGCTGAGCTAGTTTTCTTGTTATCAACAGGGATTTCTTCTTACCTCTCCCAAGAGGGTTTTCTCAATTCTTCCTTTCACGAGGCGAGCATAATCCGCATCGTCATCCTTGTCTAGCTGTGCTGTGATAATTGGAGTGCTGTTGAGAAGCAAAGGAAAAATGATGCTACCACAAAGCAGAAGCCTGTCTGAAGACCACTGCTTTGTTAAACCCAAGTACTATTCAGAATCATAGTTACTAGCAACCGCAGTTGACTGAGCATTTACTTTCAGGTATGCTAAAGGGTTCACATACATTCTCATTTACACTTACTATTTTTTTTTTTTTTTTTTTTTGAGACGGAGTTTCGCTCTTGTTACCCAGGCTGGAGTGCAATGGCACCATCTTGGCTCACCGCAACTTCCGCCTCCTGGGTTCAGGCAATTCTCCTGTCTCAGCCTCCTGAGTAGCTGGGATTACAGGCACGCACCACCATGCCCAGCTAACTTTTTGTATTTTTAGTAGAGATGGGGTTTCACCTTGTTGACCAGGATGGTCTCGATCTCTTGACCTCGTGATCCACCCGCCTCGGTCTCCCAAAGTGCTGGGATTACAGGCTTGAGCCACCGCGCCCGACATTACACTTACTATTTTTAATGGTCCCCAGGCAATCTACTCCATAAATGAATGAAAAGATTTTCAGAAAATTCTTCCTTAGAAAGGGAACCCTGGGCGAGCATGGTGGCTCACACCTGTAACCCCAGCACTTTGGAGACCAAGGCGGGTAGATAACTGAGGCTAAGAGTTTGAGACCAGCCTGGCTCACATGGCGAAACCCATCTCTACTAAAAACATAAACATTAGCCAGGTGTAGTGGTGCGCGCCTGTAGTCCCAGCTACTCAGGAGGCTGAGGCAGGAGAATTGCTTGAACCCAGGAGGTAGAGGTTGCAGTGAGCCTAGATTACACTACTGCATCCCAGTCTGGGCAACAAAGACTCTGTCTCAAAAAAAAAAAAAAAAAAAAAAAAGAAAGAAAGTGAATCCTACCTGTTTTTCTTTGGTCCTAACAATCATAACCAGCAGTTATTTTAGTTCTGTTTCCTGTGTAAATTGACCACCCAGATTTTTTTTTTTGAAAGGGATCTCCCTCTGTTTCAGGCTGGAGTGCAGTGGCAGGATTGCAGCTCACTGTAGCCTTTACCACCTGGGCTCAATTGATCCTCCTGCCTCAGCCTCCCAAACAGCTGGAACCACAGGTGTGCACCACCATGTCTGGATAATTTAATGTTTAAATTTTCTGTAGACTTGGGGTCTTCCAACGTTGCCTGGGCTGGTCTCGAACTCCTGGGCTAAAGTGGTCCTCCAGCCTTGGTCTGTCCAAGTGCTAGGATTACAGGCATGAACTACGATGCTTGGCCTATAAAGTGACCTTTTGTATACTACAATTTCCTTCATCCCTCTTCTCTCGCAACACTGCTTCTCCAGGAACACCTCCAACTCCTCTGATCACTAGCCATTGGCTTCTGTCCTTACTGTTCTGGACAGGATCCTCAGAATACACATTCTTGGGACTAAACTGACCAGCCCAGAAGGGGCAAGCAGAGCTCCGAACACCCTGGATATCTACGGTTGTGCTTCTACAACCAAGTATGGCTATCTTTCATTTAATGCTATGTATTGTCATTTTTTAAAAATTAGGTCATCATGATTTCTGTTATCAAAGGCATTGTAATACATTTCTATTTCTTCCAGCCTTAGATCAACTAGAAATCCCGTCATGAAATCACCAGGAATCACAGAATATGACCACAGGCCACATGGCCAACACTTCAGTCAGGCCTAGTTAGGCTGGAATGATGACATCAAAAGGATGAATTCTCCACTGACACATTGCTCCAATTTTTCTAGTCGTTTTTAACATTTTCTCTCTTTCATGTTATTTGTGGCCAAAGAAAACCATTGCTTCTATTTTGAATGTATCCAGTTTAGACTTTTTCTTGAGTGGCTTTTTTAAAAACCAGAATATGACTAACACAGCAAGCATGCCACCCAGAGTTTGAGACACTGTCCTATAAGAATATCACACATATGCATGTGACAAGAGGATCACTGCTTCTCAAGAAACCAGACAGGCATGTGTGGAACAGGAGGGAAATGGAAGCAGGCACCTGATGGCCTTGGAAGCATTGATGATCTCTTTAATCCGAGGCACGCCCAGGGTGATGTTCATGGAGGCCACGCCTGCAAAGTGGAAAGTCTTCAGGGTCATCTGGGTGCCTGGCTCACCAATGCTCTGGGCACACAGTGCGCCCACTGCAGAACCTGGCTCCATCTGTGCCCTGGAAGGCAAGGGTATGGATAAGAACACAGGATGACAAAGAAAAGTCCAGCAAAACTGCTGGGGAGAGGCTTGTGGTTATCACTTTCAACAGGGAATACAGATGCTATTAGGGTCAGGAAGGAATTGGCAATAGGCCAGGGTATGCTTGTGACAGAGGAAGAGCCTGGTATAGACCAGAAATAGGTGCAGACAGGGGAAAGTCATGCTCCCAGAGGGGGCAGCAGTGCAACTCAATTCTGCGTGGCTACGGATGCAGAAGATCTAAGTGGTCTGCTAACCAATGGTATGGATGGTGAACAGAGCAGATAGCATCTGCCGTATTCATCAGCAGTTTCCCCATGGGGAGAAGACATTAAGAAATTTCCTTGCAATTATTTCCATATCTTGGAGCACTCAGCCCAGCAATTCATCAGACTCCCTAGAGAAGATGGGACAGAATCTGATCAAGTAACGGCAGTTAATAAGTGCACTGGTGCAGGGTTTTGTACCCATGGGGAAACAGGAGGGATACGTGAGACGTATGTGGATGACCGTCAGTCCAAGACAACAGCATGACTACCTCATGTACTTGTCCCTGCAGGTTTCCAGAAACTTTTCTACTTGGGTGGGGGTGATACGGTCCAGCTGGTACAGCACACGGGGCTGGAAGAACACAAGCCAAGCACAGAGTTAAGGGCCGGAGGCACCTGCAAACAGCTTGGGGTTCTAATTCGTCTTGGAGAGATATTACCTCTGTTGTGCCGTTATCATTGATGCCATATTTATCTCTGGTTTTCTTGATCTTCTCAGAGACCCCCTTAATGAATTTTTTTATTTCCTGAAAGATTACACAGCAAACATCATTTGTAAGTTTCACAGTCATTCAGATGACATAATTCATTTCATAAACCTCAGTTGTATATGACAAGCCCATCATATTTTAGTGTTTACTCAACATATAGTACAAAGAACACAATCTGGATACTGCTTCTACTAAAAAGTAGTTTTCCGAAGAACACACGTACTGTCCATACCCCAGACACACGCTCCACTGGTTGTGGTGTCTCTAAGGCCTTCTCCAGCCGCTCTCGTGGCACTGTCTGCAGGGCCCCACATAGCACGTGGGAGCCTTTGCTCGTGCTCTCGAATGCCACGAGGGCTACAAGAACACAGCTCGGGACAGGTACAACTGCACCATTTATACTTTTCTTCTCCAGATTAATTTTTGAGGGTTTCTTCTGATCAGTTTAAATGCCACCAACTAAAGCATAGCTTTGTTGATATACATTTCAAACACGCACTATGAGTTTACCTTCATTTCAAAGAAAACACTCCTGAAACACAGCTTATCTTTTCCCCTCTGGTAACAACCTCTCCCCGCAGGCCTAGGCCCACGCTCTCTTCCCACACACAATTAGAACTCTGTAAGGATTCCTGGAAACCACTGTCAAAGCCAGATGGGAAGCATCAGTATATATCTGATTCCCACTGGGAGGACCCAAGTAGAGCAAGAAAGAGGTGAAAAATACACGGTTGGAAGATCAGAGCGGGGTGAGAGACTAAAGCCCTGACTCAGGTTTTCAGGTGACCACTCAAATGGGTGGTTTTAGGATTTATCTGTTTTAGGATTTATAGTGTGTCTGTGAAATAGATCCAGCCCACCACCACTCCTAAAGCCGGGATCAGTCGGCATCTTCTCCTGGGGAGTGCTCACGGGGAAGGAACACTTACAGAGGAACGGTTAACATCCTGCTCACAGTGGGTCAATCATCAAACGCTACAGATTGGCTGTAAGAGCACTTCTCAGGGAGAGCTGATGGCACCACCAAGCAGTAGCAACTGTCCTCCAGAGCCATTATCTTGCCATCCTGGGAGCCAGCATCAGCTGCTTTTGGCATGACCCAGGGACGGTCTCTGAGAATATGGGGAAGAGAGAATAGACTACCCCTCCTTTGTAGCAGCAAGGAAATCACGGTGGTGGTAAGCTTGAATGGCACTCTGGCCAAATGCAAGCATCCAGCTGCTCTGTGTGGCTGGGAATATAGACCCCCCCACACACGGAGGACAACCTGCACACTGTGGTGGCCAAGAAGCCTCATGAGATCTTGCTTCTTGATTCTGGGGTAGGCTCAGGGTCCCCCAGAGAAAAGGCCAGCATGCTCTGCCCAAAGTCCACTTAGCCTATTATATGGCTGAAAATGCCTAAGTGTAAACCAGGAGCCCATTTTTGCAAAAATAAAATCCTATAAGGTACCCAAAGACAGCTTAAGACTTCCTAGCCCCATTCTATCCTAACCTTGTAGAAAGAAATCTCTTTAGCCTCCGATCTAGCAATTTCTAGTTACTATCCTTTCTAAAAGCAAAACGCTAGAACTTTATGTTCTTGTTTAAACAGCCTTAGCATCTGTGTTCACATGGTCTTATGCCTTTTCCAGCCAGCTGCTGCCCAGTTTGGCAAGAACTCCTTGTGAGGAGGCATGGCTTTAGCCCCATCACTCTAGAGCAGAGGGCACTGAAGGGCTGAATGAGGTCAGCACTTGGCCAAGGCAACCAACTTCTCCACAAGTCAGATGCTTTCTTCAAAGTCTTTTCTCTGAACAGGGGTTTCTTCGATGTAATCTCTGCCTGCTGGGAAATTCCATCTGTCTCCCAGGAGCCCAGGCAGCCAAGGGGCTACCTCGGGGGCCCATCACATCCTAGCCGTCAGTTCCCAGGAATACTGCTTTCCCATGATTGCCAGTGTTGGCCAACTCTCTTTCTTCACACTGAGAAAGTACAGAGATACACAGAGGGTGACCCTGCCACCCAATCATTGTTCTATATGGAAAGTGCTTTTTATTTAAGAACTTTTACCGGCAGGGTGCAGTAGCTCATGCCTGTAATCCCAGCATTTTGGGAGGCTAAGGTGGGTGGATCACCTGAGATCAGGAGTTCGAGATCAGCCTGTCCAACATGGCAAAACCCTGTCTCTGCTAAAAATACAAAAATTAGCTGGGCTTGGTGCCATGCACCTGTAGGACCAGTTACTCAGAAGGCTAAGGCAGGAGAATCATTTGAACCCAGGAGGTGGAGGTTGCAGTGAGCCGAGATTGTGCTAATGCACTCTAGCCTAGGCAACAGAGTGAGACTGTCTCAGGAAAAAAAAAAAAAAAAAAACAAAAAACTTTTATCAGTATAAGAGGGGGTTTTGCTTGGCGGTGGCTTGGTCCTTTAGAGAAAGCTCCCAAAAGCCCTCTTGGCCCAGACGTTGCCATTTGATCACCAGCTGTTAAAAGCTGCCTCACCTGTTGGCACAGGGAAACCAGGAGCGGAACCTAAGGCCAAGCAGACCCAGAAGGTTTTCATCTGCAAGGGGCTGTGCACACATATGGAGTAAAAAGAACACACCTACAACAATCTGCCGGCTTAGGCACTGGAAATGACACAGCTCAGCTTCCATCCCAATGGACACGCTTCCCACAGGTTTGCTGAATGACTTTCCCTACACAAAGGTTCTGGAAATTAGGTCTAAAAATGAAAAAAAGAGGCCGGGTATAGTGGCTCATGCCTGTAATCCCATCACTTTGGGAGGCTGAGGCAGGTGGATCACCTAAGGTAGAGAGTTCAAAAACAGCCTGAACAACATAGAGAAACCCCCATCTCTACTAAAAATACAAAATTAGCCAGGCGTGGTGGTGCATGCCTGTAATCTCAGCTACTTGGGAGGCTGAAGCAGGAGAATCCCTTGAATCTGGGAGGTGGAGGTTGCAGTGAGCCGAGATTACGCCATTGCACTTCAGCCTGGGCAACAAGAGCAAAACTCCACCTCAAAATAAATGAATGAATAAATAAATATTTAAAAAAAAGAAAAACAGCTTACTTTTTGGAAATAAAAACTGAAACAATCAGCTAAAAATTTACACTGAGTCAGCCCATGCATACTAGAGGGAACTCGCAACATGGCTATCGGCAGGCAGTTCATCACATGATTAACCAATAGTTAGCCTCTCACACTCCACAGCAGGCCTATGAGCACGGGCGTCCACCTCTGGCAGGGGCCAGGGCTCAATGCCACTCAGGAATGCCTCTGTCACCTCGGCTGTGATGCAGGCTAGGGCTGGAGAACATTTCACAGGCTCAGACACATCTGCTCTGGCCAGTGGATTCTAGACCCTCTCAGCAAGGACATGTTTAGTCATCCTTGCATCCCTGGGATTTGTGGACTATGTGACATATGGTAAGGGCTGAACCAGCACTCACTGAGTAAACAAATGCTGCGGGGCAGGAGGTCACCTGCTAAAGTTTTTCAAGGGCAAGAAAGGAACCAGTCCAAAGCAAAGCACTGTTTGCCAGAACCTAGACAGAAACCTGCTCTCTCTGGTGCTGGCAAATGCTGGGGTGCTGCTAGAGCGGGCCTTCTGTTGGTGTTCACAGCATGCTAAGCATGTTACCTCGTGAGAGCTCTCATAACCTGTCTCAGTTAAGGTCTTCAAGGACAAACAGATTAATAAGTAAACATAATCATGAAGAAAAACCAAATTACAACTCTAATTTGTTAGTTTTTTTTTTTTTTTTTTTTTTGAGACGGAGTTTCGCTCGTTACCCAGGCTGGAGTGCAATGGCACGATCTCGGCTCACCACAACCTCCGCCTCCTGGGTTCAGGCAATTCTCCTGCCTCAGCCTCCTGAGTAGCTGGGATTACAGGCACGCGCCACCATGCCCAGCTAATTTTTTGTATTTTTAGTAGAGACGGGGTTTCACCATGTTGACCAGGATGGTCTCGATCTCTTGACCTCGTGATCCACCCGCCTCGGCCTCCCAAAGTGCTGGGATTACAGGCTTGAGCCACCGCGCCCGGCATTTGTTAGTTTTTTTTAAGAAAGCCTTTGGAGAAGAAAAACAAAACAAAGGCACCCAGCCTTGCCACACTCTTGATTTTATAATCTAGAAGAGTCTCCTTTTCACCGTTCATACCTCGACACATGAACACAAGAAATGAGGGGCTTCCTTAACACAAATACTCTTAGTTAAGCTCACTTGTTATTTTTATTTTTGATCTGCTGAAAGAGATACATTCTTCCTTGGTCTGCTGATCTGTGCTACATTTGAATTACCAATTAGTACACAAAGGAAACCATTTACTGATTTCTATATCCCTTTGCTTTTGATCCTAACCATGATTATAAACATGAAGGAACTGCCTGAGCAGGTCAGGACCATAAAAAAACAACAAACAAAGCAACCAGAAAACCTCAAGAGGGTATCAAGGTAACAGCTCCCTGGAAGAATAGAAAAGGTTGATTCAATGGATTTTTGATCCATAATATAGCGAAAGAAAGAGGAGTTTAAAACAAATGGTATTAAAACAAGACTACTACTACTAACAATTATTGGGATTCAGAATGATTGAGGGAAAGTTGGCTCACAGGATAGAGTGGGTGTTAGGGAGAGGGCTTAAACAAAATCAGCATTTTTCTTCTAAAAGGGAAAAAAGAACATTTTTTTTTCTAGTAGAGAAATGGCTCGAGTCAAAGACATAAACTAAAAAAGACATGAGATAAATTCTGCATGTTGGCTGGTGAGATTTTGCCTTGGCCATTTTTTTTTTTTTCTTTTTCTTTTTTTTTGAGAGCAAGTCTTGCCTAGGCAGGAGTGCAATGGCACAATCTTGGCACACTGCAACCTCTGCCTCCCGGGTTCAAGAGATTCTCCTGCCTCAGCCTCTACAGTAGCTAGGACTACAGGCGCCTGCCACCACAGCTGGCTAATTTTTGTATTTTTAGTAGATAAGGGGTTTCACCATTTTGGTGAGGCTGGTCTCAAACTTCTGACCTGGTGATACGCCCGCTTCAGCCTC